ATCCGGAAACCCAAAGAGAAGGATCAAGAACTTCTCCTGCAGTCGAAGCACAGTGGGATCGCATCGGAGCTTATAAGTGCAAGGAACTGGACGCACTGGCCACAGCCGCAAGTCCTGTGTACCCGACCTGACCTGAGTAAATCTCATTTCATTGTATTTTGGACGAAGTTATATAAAGGCCTTGGCGCATTCTAAATATAATTTCATTGAGATTATTGAAATTCTGAACTAGGAGTTCAAGTTCAAGTTGGCTACTCCCCAAAGTATACATATCACACGCCTGAGGTCAGACTACGCGAAACAAACTACGGTACAATAATCTTCTTAAGTGTAACAGAGCTAATATAGCTATTACGCTTAATCTCAAGCAGCACGGTGGTTTATTCGCTACCAAAGACGTGTTTTGGATCCCACGGTCGAGCTCCATCACCGCCTCTCAACTTTGGTCGTAGCCACTTTTGCGGTCGTTCAGTTCAACACCATNCCTAACATAGCGGGGATCAATGTGGTCCACCATTCCAAGTCCCGGGCTTACCTTACCGGTTTTCATCACCGAACAGCAGGTTCTAGTGACTATTGGGCTTTCTCCGTCCATTTCTCCGTCACATTAATGTGTGCAACTAAGAATAATCATCTAAAGAAGCTCTGGGATTACACTAATTGAATGATAAAAGCTGTCAGGCATGTAAAATATCCCCTGGAAGTCTTGTATAAAAACCAATTAAAACTGCTAGAACCCATGAATAACAAAGTACTGGAACATTAAATAGACAGGTGACGGGAGTAATACGATACGAAAAAAGCATGCACAATCAGGCTGCCAATAGAAAATCAGAGTAATGTCTTTAAACTCAACTCTCAAACAAATTGTCCATTGTTTATTAGCCACCCTCTAAAAGAATAATACACCCGATAGGTAACGGGTTGAATTGTAATGAACTATGGGCTCAAAGTTAAGGTTTTATGTTACAGTAAGGAAGATTTTTCTATCTCATCTGAGCTGATGTCTGAAAGTAAGAGTAATGCATGATGAAATCTTAAAACGTTTTATTGCACACATTTGCGTGATGAACTGTAGATGAATTGGATCTCATAGTCAGGAAAACCAACTGTTCAGTGATGAAAACCGGTAGCATGAGCCCTTGGAAGTGGCGAACCACATAACCATCAAACATATGAATATCGCATTTTTCGGCAACTTATGGAACACCATAACTTATTATCATGACTGGTTCAAACTTGGAGTTAAACAAATAAAACCATGAAAACAGCACGGGAATCTAAGAGTGAAGCTAGAGATAACTTCAATTATATTTTGATGTTGCCTGTTGATAAGAAAAATCTAAATGAAATTCTGCAGTGTTTACGGAGGTTCAATCGGCAAAGAATTCACAAAAATAATTCCAAGAGAATAGCTAAAACTGATCCCAATCTGCGAAGTTCATGAATATAAAGGCTATCGCTGCTGAGTACTGCCACCGGTTTAAACTCTTATACTTTAGGCGAAGAAAAATTAAGAAAACACGAAAAATATCTTACAAGCTCAAATCTGTCGACATTCTCTATTCTGGCATCAGTTATTTATATGTTTTTCAAGCATTTCCAACATTCTCAAAACCAACCACGAAGGTATGCAAAAGTTTATAGTTAGCAGTATCACACCTGGTTCACCAATAGCGCTTACCAAGAGTAAAAAATGCAACAAATCACAGTTGCTTCACATCTGAAATTGGGTATAAAACTGAAGTCGAATGAGATCAGAAAGGCCGGAATTTTTATCTATATTTTCTATCTGCCACGCTAGGTTTTAGCACGAGTAACTAACTAAGATCAGAGATTCTGAACATGAGGGGTGGTTTCGTGCTTAGGCTTGAAATCCAGACAGGAAAGTTTTGCAACAACTGAGACCTGACTGGTGCACCATGGTCAAGAATGTGAGCTACTGAAAATTTCAAGCTTTCGGAGATTCACCTCTTAATTTAGTCGGTCTCAGAAATCCAATGACTTCGAAATCCAAAGCGAACATATTATATTAAGTTTACTTTGGTTACCCATACATATGGAATATGTTTTGCATTAGAAAATACTGAACACGAAAGGTAAATAATTAAATGAATGCATCACTCACCTCATCGACAACTTCAATTGTGGTGTTCGAATTGTCGTGTGAATGTGCCCCCAAAACAATCAAACCAAGGACATTTACGGCGAGTCCACCAGCGCCAACGTAAACCATAAGTCTGGGATTGTTGATGGGTTCAGGCTCGATGAACCGTTGAATTGCATTCATAAGAATGGTCGAACACAAAGTAATGAGAACGACGGTATTAATGAGGCCACCCATTACCTCTGCTCGCTGCCATCCGAAGGTATTTTTGGACGAACTTGGCCATTTGGCGATTCTGGCTGCGATCACTCCAACAACAAGCGCTAAGAAGTCCGAAAGCATATGAAAAGCATCTGCCACCAAAGCTATTGAATGAATAACGTAGCCAACAATAAGTTCAACAAGAAAGTATGTGGCGACGAGGCACATCATACAGACCAGGCGCGTCGTATTACCACAATGAAAGCACATATTGGGAACACAATGATCGTTACTATGCAGTGAAAGTCACAGGACGGAACAGATTTATATGAATTCCAAATCCTTTTCGAATTCCTCCGCCAATGAGGAAGGTGTGGGAATCGAGAACGCGCGAAAATTTGGCAAAATTGCAAGGCGCGCCATTGTTGGATATGTACTCTAGGATAACGCTTGTCATGTTAAAACGAAAAGATGTTAGAAATCACGCACATTTCGAATATTTACCAAAATTGTTAAAATTTCCATAGTAAGAATCAATATTTTGAAAAGTGTTTTATCACCACCTTAAACACTATCACATCGGCCAGATAGTTCAGTTCCCGTCTTGAAGTCTTGAAGTCTTTAAGTATTTCACGGGTTCGAGGCTAAGCCCAATGGTCCCAGATCTTGGTTTGTCCTTTTTTTATTGATTGGTGATGCCCGCTGACGAGAATTTGAGACCACGGCCCGCTAGTGAGGGGGATTCAATGAAGATTCAGGTAATTGAAGGAGGAACCTGCACAAATATGTGCATCTAGATAATGAACACATTTTTACATGCACGCAAGCAAAATTCACTTAATGCACGCCTAGAGATACGAAGACAGTTTATGACACTGTTTTCGAAAAGTTTTCTTTTTTTCATGTTTTTGTTTTCTTTTGTTTTCTTTTTGGTTTGCTTTTGCATGCAAAAGAATACACAACATCAACAAAAATTATGACTCAAAGAAGTTGGGATAAATGCATTTAAAAATAGAAACGCGGTGGATGGAGAGATAGATGAATAGATCGACAGGGAGCAACTAATGGGAGTTAGTAATTGCGTTTTGAAGACCAAGGAATATATCGAGCTTGTGTTTGAACATGCTCTTTGAAGGCGCGTCGACAATCTCCTGTGGGAGTCTATTCCATAATAGAGTGACTCTATGGGTAAAGAACCAGTGATGAACTCGGGTGCGGGGTCGAGGCTTAAACAGCTTTTTGCTGCGACCGCGAAGAGTATCTAAGCTATATGGGGTGAAAAACTGGTTGGCCGCGTCCGTGAAGAGCAAGTGGTAGAGAAGAAAAAGGTCCGCCCGAATGCGACGGGTGTTTCGGGGATAAATATTCAGTGTGGTGGAACGGATGGTGTGCGGAACACGGAAGAGACCTGAGAATAGCTTTGTGGCTGCTCGCTGAACTCGTTCGAGGGAGTTACGATCACCCAAAAGCCCAGAGCACGCGATTTGGGCTCCGTATTCTAATAGCGGTCTTACATACGTGTCATATAAGAGTTGAAAGTCTCCTTTATCAAAGCGATAGAAGGAGCGCTTGATAAAGTTCAGTATCCCAAAAGCCTTTTTTCGGGCTTTTTGGTGGTGGCAAGAAAAAGATAGAGAATTAGATAGCCAGAAGCCATTGATCTTGTGCTGGTTGACAGTTTGAAGTCGGAATGTGTTGCACACATTGAAGGTGTGCTCGCAGTCCTTGCTAAAGGACATACTTACACATTAATCATCATTTATTGGTAGACTCCAGTCTGATGACCATGCTTTGGTGATATCCATAGCTGCCTGCACTGCTGATGTGTCACTCCCCCAGATTGTGACATCGTCAGCATAGATAGGACAGGGATTTTGTCCGGGAGGTCATTTATGTATACGATGAAAAAGGGTGGACCTAGGATGGGTCCCTGGGGAACATCTATTGTCATCGGGGAAGAGTTGGAGAAAGAGGTTCCTGCCCTAACAGAGAAGGAGCGAGAGGATAGAAAGCTGCCAAGAAGATTACGAAGCCTGCCTCTAATACCATACATTTCCAGCTTATGCATTAATGGAGAATAGGGTACTCAATCAAAGGTTTTCGCAAAATTTATGAAGATTGCATATGAGGTTTGACCATCATCATAGGCCTGAGTTAGACTTTCCATGACATATAG